TGATGTTCTCTCCTTTGTATCCGCCTTGTTTTGGCTCGGGGCTCCCTCCCAATCTCCTCAAAGGTGGAGGGAAACTTGGATTATGCCTCGTTATTCTGTCTTGTAACAATCTCCCCCCCCTCCCCCCTCCCCTTTCCGTGGCTCAACCCACCTGAATGTCCGCCGTCCAGCCCGGCTCAACGCCCAATCCGTTCTGCAGCAGCCTAAGCACTCCGATTGCGGAGCCCCTCCTCGCAGGTCCGGCGCCATCCAAGGCCAGGGGGCGCCTGCCTGGGCCCAGGGCGGCATTGACTCCACCGGATATGCGCCCCGCTGGCCCAGCACGCCGGAGCTGTGCGCCCGGCGAGGGAGGCGCCAGGCACCGCCCGGCGTCGACCTGGCCTATCTGCGGCTGGCCACCGCCGCGCATAGCTCACCTGCGAGAATAATTAGCGGGGGGCTGCGGGTAGCTCGTGGCTTGGGTCGCGGCTGGTGGGCAACTAAGCGCGGCAGGGAAAGCGAGGTCAGGAGGCCAAATACGCAGGGGCACGTCGCGTCAGTCCCGTTCACCCCCTTGGGGAGGTGACAGCCCGTCATGGACACGTGGCAGGGGGTGGAAGCCGAGATCTATCTGAGTCGCTTGCGGTAGCCACACGTGGAGTGGAATGTCGGAGGAAGGACGGCAGCGGACATATACAGCGGCCCTGCAAAGGGGTACGTTAAACCCGACGCGACCTTTGTAGTACTTTATGCAGCTTTATTGCACAGTGGGACACGTACCCCCTACACCGGCGGCCAAGGTACCACCTACGCCGGTGGCCAGGGTACCACCTATAATGGCGGCCAGGATACTCCTACATTGGTGGCTAGGGTATCCCCAACACAGGCGGCCATGGTACCCCCTACACCGGCGGCTAGGTACCACCTATACCGGCAGCCAGGGTAACCTTGACACCTGCGGCCAGGGTTCCCCCTACACTGGCGGCCACGGTACCCCCTACAGCTCCCCAGGGTACACCCTACAACAGCAGCCAGGGTAACCTTTAGAGCATCTTTCGGCTATCCGAATAGCACCGCACGTCAAAAAACATCATTAAACTGTTGGGTAGCAATAGCACCCCAATAGCACCGCGGATGCTATTCTGGGCCCGAATAGCACCGCTCGAGGCCAAATAGCACCCCGGAATAGCACCCAGTGCTATCCGAGCAGAACATTGTAGTGCTGCCATGACGCCATCCTGCCCAGGAATAGCGCCTACCATTGCGGATGCGCGCAGGGAAGCAATAGCGCTGGTGCTATTCAGCAAATGCCGCCTTAGTAAGGTGGCACAGCAGCCAATGAAACCGTTCCTGGATAGCTCTGCTGGGGCAATAGCACCTACCCATAAAGATGCTCTTAACCGGCGGCTAGTTCCCCCTAAACCGGCGTCTAGGGTACCATTTACACCGGCTGATTAGGGTACCCTGCTCAGCGCCCCGGCCCCCACTAGCGCCCCCAGTTGGGCCATGTCACGGGGGGGCGCTATATGGGGACCTCTACTCCACTGAAACTGGCAGGGGTCGTGAGCTAGTACTTTGGGGATTGCAACACGGGTGCACGACCCATGGATGGGCGCCGTCTCGACGAATTTCACCGCAATGGCCGCCTGGCTTCGCCTCAGGAAGGCCGCTGTTGCGGCGGCGGGCCTGCGCCGCCCGCTCGCCCCTTGGGCCACGTGTGCTCGACAGAGCTCTTCAGACAGCGGGGAAGATGCTGCAGTCTTGACGACCAGCAAATCGCGACCGCAAACCATTGAAGATCATAGCCATGAGCCAGGCCCTAACAAGGAACCAGAAACAGCGATGGCTCGGCACTTAAAATCCAAAATTCTGGTGGGCGATTGCTCGCTGTATGTTGACTGAAGGGTTTCTCCCCCGCGATCCTGTCTTACTGCAGTCTTCAGGCCACTGCTTAGGGCACATCAAGGTTGAACGGTGTTTCCGTGTGACGTCCTGCAGATGGGGGGTGGACCCATCAGTGTTGCAACATACATGAAGGTGAGCAATATCTTGTTACCATCGTTGTTAGTCATGCTCAGTGCCACGCAGCGGCTTGAAGACGCTGTGACAGCATTTCTGCATCTGTAACTGCCAGACAATGAGTGCATGTCGCCGTCTAGTTGAGTGTGTTTGTGTGGGACAGCCATGAAAACTCCACTACTAAACAGTTTTTGCCCAAGAGTATCGTTTGGCCAAGCCAGAAATGGCCATCATTGCTTTGTCTGCAGAATGGTGCACAGGGAGTGTTTTGTCACAGCCTCGGCAGAGGAAGTTAAAGGTGATAGCAGTATCCTCACCTGTGAGGTCGTATTATTGTGCTGTGCTATCAATTGAAGCCACCCAGGGTATCAAAAATTTCAATGTCTCCAAGTTCACTGCTGGATGCGTTTGGTCTTGTGTATGATATGATTTCTGCTGGTGGGTGCCAGCTGTAATTTCCCCTTGGGGTCAATGGGAAAAATACATGCTCCCCATTCTTTCTTTTGCCATTTCGTTCAGGGTTCTAGATCAGTACTTAGCCTGGTTCACTCAAGTGTAGAGTGCTGCATTGGCCCTGTACTTCTTTGAGGCTGAAAGCCGGACCACAATGTTGCTGTTTCTGTGTGTAAGTATTGCAGGAAGTTTTGACCAATCCAACCCATGGCTTCTATATGAACCGCGATGTTTTGGGGAGTTCAGGGGATTTCGTGACGTCTCCTGAGATATCACAAGTCTTTGGAGAGGTGAGTGTTTCAGCACTTCACTGGGCATCTTTTCAAGGTGCGAAGGCCAAACGTGTTGCAAGCAATTGAGCAACCAACAAAATCATATTGGTCCCAATGGTGCCCTTTTGGGGCTTTATGATGCAAGGGCAACGTGTTTTGACCAAAAGCAGGCAATGCGATGAAAAGGGATTCAAACAACCCAGGTTTTATGAATGTGATGCTTCAAGCTAGATTCAGCTCATAGCGGAGTAAATTTGGTTGCAATTGAGTTGAGTAAATTTTGTTTGCCTCTCCTGATTTCTTCAAAACCATTTGCTTGTGATTGAGCTGCTTATTGTGCTAGTTAATAGGTATTTGGACGATGCTTGCATGGGAGCAAATGGGCTGCCCCAGAGACCTCCGCATAGTCGAGCTTGGGCCTGGGCGGGGGACGCTGATGGCAGACCTGCTCAGGGGAACGGCAGGTAAACCATAGGCAAAGCATATCTTTTCATCATTCGCATGCTCAACATCAAGCACTTGTACAAGGCACATACCCAAATCAGAACTGGCAGCATAACCCCCTGTCCAAACTCCCCTGTCTGTGCTCAACGTTTACAAGATGGGTTCTCTACTGTGGGGGCCTGGCTTTGTGAAACCTTGTGAATAAGCCCCACCCCTCAGTCTGTGTCGCAAATAACTGTCAACAGCCATGGCATCGGCGATGTCATGCAGGCGATTTGCTTTGTAAGTTGAAACAGGAGCACCCAGACAAATGTCGATGCCTGGTGGATGTGCACAAAGCACTTGACATCCACTGTTGTTATCAAAAGTAGTGATATTATGTGTTGTGGTGAATGCAGTCTATATGGACTTTCACAGTTGGTGCCGTGCAGTACCGATGTGATGATATTCTGCAATTTACTCTGACTTTGGCCCTGGAGGTTGCTTCCTCAGGTTTTTCCAAGTTTGCATCTTCATTGCGAGGCATTCACCTGGTCGAAATCAGCAAGGCCTTGCGTGCATTGCAAGAAGCGGCATTGAGAGCCAGACCAGGCCTTGTTGGGGAAGGAAGACCACAGGTGACCCTGACCACGAATAGTGCCCTGCTGGGTGCATTGACAGTGATGAGCAGGACTCTGCTTGTTGTCAACATTGATAGCCTCAGCATCAGTGCCATCCTCAACATTATCAGCATCAGTATCAGGTCTGTTATTGCGACAATGTCGGGGCAAACACCATCGAGGTCCAATTTCTTTTGAGTTGTCAAACGCCATCGAGTGGATGCTGCTGTAGAGCCAAGCAGAAAGGTGCCTATTGTTGCATGTTACTGATGAAAAAGATGATGCTGGCCACCCATTGGATCATGTGCAGAGTTCTGGGTCAGTTGCACTGCCCATGGGACTTGATCCTCAACCAAGATTTTGAGGTACCAGCCATTGCTTGAGACTCGTTGCCATGCAGCGCTTGCCACTTTTGATGCAGTGTAGTTCCCAAAAGAACTTATAATGCACATCAATCCCCCCCCCCCGATTGGCCAACAGCCAGCCAGGGAAGCACGTGATACAGCAGCTGTGGAGATGCCAGCTACTTCCCAACGCAATTTTTGTTGTCATTTCGTAACCACCACAATGCTTGATGTTGGTCATGGCACATTGACACACTGTTGTGCTGCCCATTCAAAAGGTTTGCTGGCACACCAGCCTGCGTGAGGTCCCCAAAGATGGGCGACTTGTCATCATTGCACACGAGTTTTTGGATGCACTCCCGGTCCATCAATTCGTCAAAACAGACAAAGGGTGGAGAGAAAAGATGATTGATGTTGCAGAACCCCACGACCCTCTGCATTTCCGGTTTGTCTTGGCAGCCAATGCTACTCCAGCAGTTGCATTGTTGGCAAACAAGCGTCTGGAGTGGATGGAGCAAACCGAACAGGAGAAATTGAAAGAACTGGAGGTGGGAATGCGCTACATAGCAGATGTGTTTACAGATGTGAAGCCATGTGCAGTGGACAAGGTGCATCCAGACAAACCGGGTTCCTTTAGATTCCTGAATGGATGCGTCAAAGAATTCAAAGCAGTGTTGACCACTGACTGCCAAACACTGCGCTGACCCACACAACTGATAAAATTTTTGCAAATGCTGTTGCTACTGCGGTGCCATGCAGCGCGAGCGAGTTGTTCAAGCATGCCTCTTCAATTGTCGCAAAGCTGCATTTAGTTGCAAGGAAAAAAATGAAAAAGGATAGTTTGGATGGCAAGAGTGCTGACTCGATTGGCTTGTATTGTAGAGGCCACGTTCTTGCACATGATGACCTTGAGATATTCACTCCCGATTGGTGGCAGAGGCAGATGGGTGGGAAGCAATACGTGTCAACATGTGGGCAAGAGTCAGGGCTATGGGAACATTGCAGATTTGGTATAACTGCTGTTGCGCTCCCATGTAATATGTTCAGCACCAACAGCAGCAGCACATTGTGGATGTTGTGTTGTACTGCAGGCAAGCGCCCATACCCTGGCATTGGTGGTGGAAGTAGCTGAGAGGGTGGCTGAGCAAAAGGGGGTGGCGCTCATAGTAGACTATGGAAGGGACGGACCCTACGAGATGAGCCTTCGGGGCATTCGAGACCATAGGGTGGTCAATGTGAGTTTTCAGAAGTCAAGTTCCATCAGACTATGTTTCAATGGGACGCATTTCCGTTATGCATTTTTCCATAGCGTTCTTGTGGAAGCAAGTTTCGTGTGTCAATAACGTGGCTGCTGCTGTTAAAATATGGAAAAGCACCTTTAGGGGCAAATGCGCTTGGTAGAGTTTGGTCACATAGAAATTAGAAAGCGATGTAAACAACGGGATGGTCATATTCAAATGCTCACTTTGACTGACCCACACTGTGTTGATATGGATTTCGGTTTCTCCACATCACTGTCAACGATCCATGCGTGCTGCACGGGCCTCATTGGTGCCAAAACACAATTTCATGCAATTTGTCTTGGGTGATATCAGTGGTGGCTTTTCGCTGATGCGGGAAAGCCATATTGACTAGATTGCTTGGATTGCGTTGGTGTATGTGGGATGCTTTCTTGGGGCGGCATCTTATATTAGAAGTGCTGCCTCCAGGTGCTGGAGAGCCCTGGAACGGCAGACCTCAGTGCGCATGTGGATTTCAGCGCGTTGAAGCGTGCAGTAGAAGAATCTGGAAAGGATGCCATTGTGCATGGTCCGATTTCCCAGGGGCACTTCCTAAAAGCAATGGGTCTGGAGGCTCGTTTGGAAACGCTCCTGCAGGTAAATTGTTGGCGGATGCTATGACTGATGTTTTTCGCTGTGTGCCTTTGGTAAGTGCACCATTACTTTGAAATATTAAACCCTTCCGCATCAGAAAATTTCACCGTCATGCTTTTTGCTCCGCATTTTGTTTTTCAGAACGTTGTTTCTATTCTTTTGACGTTGCTCCGCACAGAAAGGCCAAGATTTGCATCATTGTTTATGTTATTTTCTCCGCAAAAAAGGACCAAGCGTTGCGTTACTGTGCGGAAGGGTTTAATATTTTACAGTAATGCGTGACGTCATTTCCAGCGGAGGGAAGCCTGCTCTGGACGAACACTTGGTTTTTCAGTGCATCGTGTTTCAATTAGACCAATGTCGATATGGGAGCTGCGTCCATTGTGTAATTCTGCTCACAGTGCATTCGCCAGAGCTGACAAAGCCCCCTATTGCTCACCCTGAAAGCCTGGGCTGGCATTTGTTGCGAACACAAAAGTGTTGTCCCTCAAGGTGCAGTGACTAATTTGGAAATGTCCATCCAAAATCTGAATCTATGCGCATGTTGTATTTGTCATCTACTCATTGTCATGGACGAAATTCAGCCAAGTGTCTCTTGAGGTAGACGCCAGGATTACACGGCCACATGTACAGCACGGAAGTTTCCTGCAGCATGTGTTGCATAGCTTGTGTTACATGCCATGCAATGCTCTGGCATTCCGCCTCCAATGCACACCATGCATGGCGGTGCTCACCTGCATCATCCGCATGTCCTCACTTGTGCCTCGTTCAATGCCATCCACAAGAGCATGTGCAAAGTTTGGGACGCACCAAACTTGCACCCCGGTGCCAAAAAAGCTGCGCCGATTTGGCTCCTCCGCAACATTTCAGAAGGCAGCACCGCGGCACACCGTGATTCGCTAAGGCACTCTGCTGTGCCCGTTCTGAACTATTCCTGCCTCTGAGCACTGCTCTTGGGGCGTGCCACTGCTTGCTGCAGGCCGCCACCCCAGCACAGGCGGCAGCCTTGCGGAGCGGCTGCGAACGCCTCGTTGGTGGAAGCGAGGACGCGAGGCAAGAGGAGGGTGTGGAAGGGATGGGAGAAGTGTACAAGGTGATGGCCGTCACTCCCAGAGAGGTCGCAGAGCCCATCCCGTTTTAGATGGACCATGGCTGGACTTCACAGTTCTCTGAAATGGGGCCACCCATGGTACGTCGTGGTTTCTTTCTGTCGAGAAGACAGCATTGCGTGGTTGGATTTCTTGCACCTGATGATGGAGCCCAACGATGTGAGGTACAGCGTGCAAGGGAACTTTTGGCTATATAGTCTTGTGATCGTAGAAATTTAAATTGACGCATGTGTCGGCTTTTCTTTGTTGGTATGTGATTGTCAGTGCATAAGCATATACGCACGTCTGTGAAAGCTTCACGTAGATACACACAGCGTAGAATTCAAGTTCGGAAATTGCCAAATCAAATCAGGGAATTTCTCAAGAGAGGGGGGAGCATTGTCTGGTGGAAAAATCCATGCAAAGTGAACCATTGGTTAATTGAGAGGCAAACCCTGCACCACAACAGGCAACCACGGCACACATATCTCAGGTGCACATGGTGTACCTCCTTGTATAGCTTTTACCAACAGCGTACAGGAAATTCTGGCCTTGCACCTTGCAGGCATAATGTAGTTGTAATTGCACCTTATGGCATAATGCAATTGTAACAGTGTCCATGTCCCCTCCCACCACAGCCCCCATTCCAACTACTCTGGGTTTTTCTTCTTCTCAGCATGGCAACATTCCCAATTTAGAGTGGTGGCTGCATCCAAGTGACACTCAGAAGGCCGCCGTCTCCTTGTCTTGATGTGCACGCACTCACACCCATGACAGGCTGGGCATTTCTGGCACCCGTCGTGTTTGACACAATCAGTGCACAGGCCACTGAGCCGCTATATAAGGCCACCCAGGACACGTCGTGTGGCAACAGTCCACCCAGCAGGGATTCTGCACACCAAAGCAGTTCCATGGGTTGAAAAAATTGCGAGAACATCATCAATCCCTGATTTGCAACTTAAGGCTTCTACAGAATTGACTCATTCAATGTACAACATTATAGGCTGGCACTCTAACACAAACTGTGTCGAAACATCTTCGTTCCCAGCGTGGAAAGCAGTTCATCGAGCGATGGGGCTGTCGATGGCAACTTTGTTTCACAGGTTGCCGATGAACATCGTTCCTTGAGCTGCAACCGAGTTCCCCGCCGGCACCAGCTGCCCCTCCCCGTTTTCCATGCATCCATGCAACAAACTTCCAACGGACACGCCACATTTCTGCGCTACCCGCGCTGCAACCCTCACGGGCCCCGTCCATCACTGCACGACGCCGGGTCCCCGCACCCAGGCCGATCCATCGAGAAGCGCGTTGCATGCCATGGCTATGGTGCCTATATCCCCGCCCAAATCCGTCGGCGGCCCCTCTGCCGCGGGAGCCGCACCCCAATCCCAGGGCTGGGCCCCGCGGGTCAGCTCATCCGGAACACCTCCCCCCTGCCCTCCAGGAACCTCGCGAGGGCGGCCCGCACCTGCTCCCTGCCCCCCTCCAGGCCCACCCCCCCCAGGTCCAGGTCCACGCCGAACAGCCTCGACCAACCCCCGCCCTGCCCGCCCTCCACCTCCTCCCACCCCCCGCTCTCCTCAAAAGCCGACATCGCCCCGCCGTCCTCCGCCAGCTTGTCCAGGTTCACCTCCGCCAAGACTTCCAAGCCCGCGGCGCTGTCCGCGGACTTGTCCGCGTCCACCTCCCCCAGACCCACGAACTCCGCGTGCGTGCCGACCCTCACCTCCCGGCCGGTGGGCCGCTCTGACACGGGCCTCAAGGAGACGCGGCACCCGGGCAGGATGGCGTACAGCGTCCCGGCGGACTTGGAGCCGCGGGGGCGGCCCCCCTTGGCCTCGCGCCGCACGCGCCGCTTCCAGCACCGGTTGATCAGCTCCGACACGCGGTCCATCGTCACCACGACCTCCTCATACACCGCCGCTGCGACGGCGTGCTTCTTGGCCCCATGCTCTAAGCCGCCGGCAGGGCGGATGCGGACCGGGACGGTCGCGCGCGCCTGGCCCTCGGGCACGTCCCACTCCGTGGCCGCCGGGTCCCAGCCCTTGCGCCGCAGCACCGTGTGCTGCTCGCGGGCCCCCAATGGGGCGATCTTGGTGACGATCGTCTTGGGCGGCAGCCACGCCACCTTGTCCGTGGCATAGCCGTCCGCGAGCAGCTGGTCCATCGTCAGGCTGAACCGCTTGCCGTCGTGCTTCTCCCGCCAGAGGTGGACGCGCTCCAACAGCTCGGAGGGCCCTCCCTCCGCCCCCAGCGTCGCGGACATGACCAGCTCGCCGGAGTACTTGTCCCAGTTGGGCGCACCCATCATCCGCTTGGCCCATTGGCACGTGCGGTAGGCGGCATCCGTGAGGGCCATCGCGAGGGCGCGGCACCGGCCGCTGTGCGCCGGCCCCCTGCGGCCGCGCTCGTCGCTTCGGGTTGGCTCCCCCAGCGCACCTTGTATGCAAAGGCCGCCGGAGTCGTATGCATGTCGCGGCGGGCCTCATTGCTTTTGTGGGCGGTGGGAGGTTTGGGGGGCTGTTGGTGTGACCGGGGTGTGACCATTGCGTGCGTGCGTCCGCGAATTACGTTGAGGCGGGTGCCGTCAGAATTATCGGCGATGAGGCTGGCTGCGAGAATTTGCCGCGCGGTCTGTCCGGGGAAGCACCCGCATATGCGCAACTGTCGGTGGCAAGCGCTCGGATTGGCATGAACACGCGCCGACAGGGTGGTTCATTAGGTGCGCATGCCGAAGCTTGTTTTGCCTGTGCGTGTGTTCTTGCCGTGGCCAGCTGCACGGGCGCGCTAAGCTCACGCCGTAAACCGGAGTCGCCATGGGTAGTTTCAGGCACGATCAGGTCTTCAAAACTGGTGTAAGTTGTAGTTTCACTCATTGAGTTGAAGAAAGCTGCCAGCCATGCTTGCATCTTGAAGGCGGTGACTGCGCTGAGACACCTAGGCAGTGCTTGGTCAACATACCTTGATCAACACAAGCGCTCGTATCTGGGCAGAAGTTTTGTGCCTATGCACCGTGTTTCAGTGCGTGCACACATTGTAAGCTGAGTTGAAGAGCTGACTTGGAAACAATTTGTGGCCGTGTTTGCCATTTTTGTTGCAACGACATGTCCAGCCTTCCACATAAATATCCACATGGCCACCAGGCGAGGTGCACCCACGGATTATGCATGGATGCGAAGCATGAGCAATTTCCGTTCCCAAGAGTCAAAAGTGCTTTTCCAAGAAACCGTGAAAAGTCCCGAAGTGCAGGTCAGCGAGAAATGCCCCGGCAATCAACCGCCCACGATTGTCACTGCGCGCTTTTTCCCGCATATCCACCGAGGCGACGGTCAGGCCACCGCCCCGCAGCACGTCGCAACCGGTGCCAGGTCGCCGCGCCTGCGCCGGGCGCAGCCCCCGACATGGCGGCGTGCGGCTCCGCGCACAAACCCAGCGGCGTCAACGCCCCCCTCTCCACCGCCGACCGCCCGCATCTTTTTTGCGCCCGCCAGCGCCGCGCCCAGCGCCTGAGGGTGCATGGGTCCCGCCACGACGGCCATGATGCGCAGCCAATCGGCTTGGATGGCATTTTGGCCTTTGCCACTGCGCTCGCTGCCCCCCTGTCCCTGGCCGGCCCCGCTGCGGCCGATTCCGTGGACGCGACGGTGGCCTCCGTGATCGAGGCCGTGAAGGCGGGGGGGGAGGCGGTGAAGAAAGGGCTGGAGATCGCGGGCACGGGGGCGGATGTCGCCAGGGGCGGCTACGACGCCGCGGCGCCCGTTGTGGAGGGCGTGGTCAAGCAGGTGGCCCCCGCGGTGTCCTCCGGAGCGCGGGCGGTCGCCCCGGCGGTGGAGCAGGGCGTCAGGCAGGCGGAGGACCTGCTCTCCGCGAGCGGTGTGGACGTCGGGGTTATCAAATCTGGGACCGGCGCGGCGATCGACGTCGCCGCGCCCGCCGTGGGCAAGGTGGCCGGGTTCTTAACCACCAGCAGCCCGCTGGTGCTTGCGGAGACCGCCGCGGCGTTGTACGCGGTGTACTTGCTGGGCCCAAGTCTGCTGCGCGCGATTCTGAGGGCGCTGAAGGGGTACGCGGGGGAGGCGTCGGCGCCGGCGGTGCTGGACGCGCTGGGCGGCGAGGCGGACGCGGTGCTGATCGACGTGCGGCCGCTGGCGGAGAAGGAGGCGGCGGGCGTGCCCGACCTGCCGGGCTCCCTGTCCAGGAAGGCGATCGCCGTGGAGTTCGCGTACACGACCGACAGGCGCCTGCGGGGCCAGCTGAGGAGCCCGGGGCAGGTCGGTGGGCCGCCGACGCCGCGGGGCGGGCGCCGCGAGCGTTCGCGCGGGTGGAAGTGCGTGGCGGACGCGGATGCGCCCGGGTTTGACGCCCGGACTCGTTTCGTCGAGCGGGGGGGCGAATTTTCCTTCCGTGCGCAGATCGGGATGGAGATTGTCGCGAAGATCTTTCCTTGGATGTGCCGCATCGGACGCCACGCATTGCCAGATACGATGGTGCCTTTGCTTGTTCGTTTGTTGTTTGCTTGTTGGTTCCTTACACTGATGCGTCGACATGACGTCACGGCATTCGTATTTGTGGCGTGCGATCCAGCGTGCGCGAGGCACGTCCGGGCCCACCCATGCCTTTAAAAAAACTCGCTTCTGATGGCGGTCGTTGCTGCCACTTCGAAACTGCCCCCCAAACTCACCCACGGAGAAGTTGCTTGTTTCTGCTGGTCTATCAGAGTCTCTGTATCGGTGAATCGTCAAGCCGGTTGCGACGTCCCTGTCGCGGTGGGTCTTTGAAGAGCCTTGACGCAACAGGATAAACAGATCTGATTATGGACGGTGTCTTGTTCCAATGCCATTCGTTTGCAACGTTGGATCACTTGACACTTTTGAGGTGTTTGTGCGGTGTTGATGACATCGCAGGTGGAATGCGAGATCACAGCCATGCAAATCGCGGCACTGAAAGGTGTATCCAAGTCGACCAATATATATCTCATGGACAAAACTGGTTCGACAGCACGGAATGTGGCTAAGCTCCTGGAGAAGCGAGGCTTTAGGTCATGTTACGTGATGGATGGTGGTTTCTATGGCTGGACATCCTCCAAGCTGCAGGTCAAGCGGCCCACGTCCGTGTACAGGCCCGAAGTTATCCCGCCTGGCCTGGGAACGATCTTGGGCACTGGAAAGAAGAAGGCAATTGAAGCTGGAGATCCACAGAAAGCGTTGCCTCCTGGAAAGAAGTAAATTGCCTGCGATTGTGCCTTGGGGGGGACATTTGTTGCGAGGAATGACAAGCACCAATGTGCGTTTCATCAACTTGCAATACTTTGCTTCATTAACAATTCTGTAGTTCCTGTAGAAATTGGATGTGTACATTGGATGGTAGGTTACAAGTAGTTGTGGGGCCATTGTGTGCAGAGCACCAAGTGGAATGACCTTTTGCTTTCTTTTGTACTTGCTTCTATGAAAATCTGCTTGTGGACACACCCTTTTGCATGGAGGAATGATGCAACTCACAGCCATTGCCTGTACATTTGCACTGCGTTTTTGGTGTGTGACTGCTGCAACTTGTCGATGGCATGTGGTTATTGTGGATGGTTCTCAACAGGGTGCCTTCTCTTTCTCTGGGCATCCCTGAAACTGGTTTCGGATTGCAAGTGATGGTGAAATTCCAGTCAGTCTGTGATGGTGCAATGTACATTCTCTCCCTGAATGTGCAAGGGATTGTTGCTGACAGATGTTTCGCTTCCTTGAACTCCTGGAACTCTGTCATTGCTGCATGGCAACCACGTTGTTACCAACTGCATGGGATGGAGACTGAACATCCGGCAGCGTGATGTCTCCAACCATTGCGGGCTGTATGTACCCCATTGTATCCACAACATTGCACATCATTTTCCTAACGGGGCCAAGTGTGCACACAGCATTAGGTTGGACGTTCATGGTGTTGTAACCAATCAAATTACCTCTACAAGAGAAGGTGGTGCCCTTGCACCTTGCAGTGATGACGGACGTGGACACATCCAAGAACGTTTTTATGTCTCGCATCCATTGAGTTTTGCCGCTCGCCTCCTGCATTGTCAGACAATGCTGCATGATTGATGTCTCAAGCCTCGTCTACCATGGTGCACACATTTACCCATATTCTCTTGGTCCAAAACACGCCAGGCAACCCTCACTGACAGTGGACTGTTGATCGTCGTTGCTCGTTGCCATCGTGCATGCATGCTCCCGCGAGGATTGTCCCATACCTATCATTACCGTATATGAAGGCCATGAAGGGTGCCAAGGACATAAACCCTGAAGTTAAAAACACCCTGAACTCGAAAATGACCTCCAAGAGCTTTATGGCTTCATGACCTCCACGAACCCCTGATTTTACGACCTCCATGACCTTCACGGCTTCATACCTTCATCGGCTTCATTATCTTGACGACTTCATGCCAGACACGAAGGGTATCGGACATTTGCGGCACCCACCGGGCTGCGCTGCCAGGATAACAAGAGCTGAAACTGCGCGTCGACGTATTCCTATCGACCAGCTTTCCTTCGCAACTGAAGAGACAGCGAGTTTGTCACCACTGCAAGAGAGCTCATGCCCATCAGGGCCCCGCTGATGGATGGTGTCAACATCACTCCATAGCCTGGCAATAAAGCACCGGCCGCGACTGGAATGGCAACAACATTGTAGCCAAAGGCCCATGCCAAATTCTCTCTGATCTTGCCCAGAATTGCACGACTCAATTCGATGACCTCAGGCACCTGCAGAGGAGGACAGACAAGGAAATTCTATTCTCTTCGAGTGCACGCCTGAAGGTCAATATGTAAGTCATGCAAAATGCATCTCCTACATCAGCAGGATCCATCACACTTCCATGTGTAAATGTGGTCAATACAGGCAACAGAGCATTTGGGGCTGTGACTGTACGGTGATGTCACAGCACGACGTCGCCTACATCATGCAACTGCAGCCACAGTGTTTTCACAAACAGCAGAATTTTAGCCTTCCACAAAACATATGCGATGCCCAGGACGCCCAAGAGAAAATCAACTGCTAGCGCCCATCGCAAGAGAAAATGGATTCACCACAGCAGACAGAGCATTGTTGAACACTGTATCAATTTATTGTTCTTGTTCCTTTACAAAGTGGTACAGCGACGTATCATGCTTGTCTGCTGTGTGTTGACGGTGCTAATGTTCTGCTGACTAGTTCCTGCACAACGGAACGGAGCTATGCATTGACCATGGTCTGGGACAATGGGCTATTGGATGAAGCTTATCAATTGTCGAATGACCCCTTCACCTGGGCGACAGAGTTGCCCGACAGCACAATATCTGAGGCACTGCGAGCCGAGGCAAGTCCACCTGACATCGCCATGCCCACATCGGCCTGGGCAAGGGATGCTGCGTCGTTGATTCCATCCCCAACAACAGCCACTGCATAGCCCTGGAAGCGAAAACACACAATTCATTAACCGGAGCAGCTACCCGAGTAGCGCTGCCTGGAGTCTTTGTAGGCCTTCCTATTCATCAATCAAGCAAAGTCACACATGGGTACAAAATTCATATGTCGCAGTTTCTTGCTATCACTCGTCGGATTCATTCGAAGCAATATTGCGACAATTGCTGCTCCATTCCTGCCGCGATTCTAAATCATCAAGAAGCGCACACAGCGCGTGATACCTTAGCCTGCAGCCGCTTAACAATGGCGACTTTCTCTTCGGGGGATGTCCTCCAAAAGACGTCGCCTCCTCTTATGCCAACCTCCCTTGCGATTGCAAGGCAGGGGCCTCGATGGTCACCTAAAGTAACAATAATCAGCAACGGCCTCTCGGTGAAGGACCCAGTCCTGCGCATCCCCACGCCACAGCTCCTGTGGATGTACCTCGCCAATCTCCGCCAATGCAGTCACGGTCCCAAAAAGTGTGCCAAAGACCTTGTACCAAGTACCAAACACTGGAACCATCCAGAAACGTTCGCCGCCCCCCGATGAGCCTTTTATCTCTAAGATGGCTCAGTAGTGGCACGATCTCATTGCACAACTGGAGACCGTTGACTGATATATTATCCAACGCTTCACGTTGCTCTGTGTTGATCTACAGTTTAATGGGTCGGCAAAGAAACAAATGTCCGGAACAAATGTGTCCAAAACGCAATGGAAACACGAATGGAAAGGCGGAATGCAAATGGAGTAGGACATTCAGAAGAATTTGAGGTCGTATTCAGGCCCCTGCCTGTGCTTTCCAAGCTGCCCACACCCTCTCGTACCTCTTAATCGCTATGCCTTCTATTTTGAATTGATTGCTACTCTATTATTAGGTGAGACCGTATGGCCCATTGCGCACCGGTCAGCCCACCGCACACTAAAATTACTCCCATCGTGGGAACTGGTTTCGCGCCACAGCGGTAGCCAATGCACGGACTTTCCACTGCACCTGAAGCCATCACCACGTGCTTGACTCCCAGATTCCTCAACCTTGAGATGGCGCCAGCAGCTTCACTGCGCACCTCGTCCTCGATGCAGATGGCGCCAATCACACGGCCATCATAGCGCACATGGACCTACCATCACATGTTCAAAATGAATATAGCGATTGCCAGCAACTCGACACAATTGCGGGGTCCAGGGTAACGTCTAGCGACAATGGCAAGCACTGTTTAATGCATGGCCTTCGTATACACAAGAGTTCCAGTTTCCCTGCATGGCCAATTGCACTGCGCTTGTCGCAGATAGCAGCGAAACACGAGTTGGAGCCCACAAGCAGCAAGAGACAAACTGCAGCAAAAAGTCAAAATGTTTGGGACTGTGCTCCCACCCATGGGAGAATCTAATAGTCTCCGAATGCATGAGAATATGCGCAAAACAGGAGCCAATGCTCTGCAAGATGCAAGCACAAAGAGGCAGATGAAAAGGGGTACAGAAACGGCGTGTGCTTGGATGTTCCTTACCAAGGTACTCCCCAACTAGCTCGTCTTCCAACAAAACTGTCAACGGAAAGGCAGAACGGCAAACGCCATTCCAGGGGGATGGAATCACATGTTTTGGTGGCCTAGCTGTCTTACACATCCCAAATCAAACCGGCCAGATGTTTCCAGGCAATGGATGCCCAAAGTCGGGTATGCCTGCCATAGAAAAACAAGGCCCAGTGTTGTTAAGCCCAGCATCGCTTGGAAGGCAACGATCTATTGAACATGTTGCAACTGCCTCATTTCCACCAACTTTGCAATAAGTTTGTGCTCGTGATCCTCTGTCATTGGTAAGCTCGCTCACAATGACCATAGCCAACTGTGTCTTTGCCAGCACATGGAAGTCAATCCAATTGACTGATCAGCCCATCTTGGGTGCAAGCCTTCAATTCGGATCTCAAGGTCCGCAAGGTGCCGCCATCGACAACCAAAGAACTTACCATGGTGGAAGCCTTGTTTTCCTCCACTCCCAGATTGGGCGCGCCACACACTGAGTCAGGTTTTTGTCTTTGTTCTAACCACTCCATGCTCCCAACCTCCAGCAAACTGCCATCCAAACAACCTTCCACTCCTCCACTAATTTCTTGCCGGAATGATCCTGTATCCAGTGCTTTGACCTCAAGTTTACGAAGCTTGCATGCAGAGACAATGGCCTGGACCGCCACATGCAGGCTCAGATACTACATTGTCCCAAAAGCATTGTCACTTTTCTAATTTCGAGCAAGCGAAGGTCAAAACGTGCAGTCAGAAAATTCGACCAAAACAACTGCGACGAATCACACTGGAAGCTCTATGTAGAGCCCTCCAGCACTGCAAATGGCGCCGCCGTTCTTGCGATAAGTGAGCAAGAGTTGCAATGCGACTTTCCGTTTCGTCGAGAACTCGGGCGGAGCATGGCGACCACGTCTTGCCTGTCAAAGGCGGTGTATCAAGCTGAGCTGTTTCAGGAAAGATGATTGACCTGGTGATTTGCAATACATTGAAGATTCGGCTGAATTCAAAAGCAGAATATAAAGCAGAATCCGTAGAGCAAACGATGCGGGTCTGCTGCATATTTTTGTGTGTCAACAAGAATTGTGCGCATGTTGTGGCCAAAGGTCATGAGGCACCTAGATTAGCGCAAGAGCATTGAACTGGCTGAGGCAACAAGGTTAGGAAGCCTGTGCATGCATATGCGAACCCCAAAGCAGCCGATAGGCCCACCAACATAGCTAGGTTGGTGCCATTGGCACGTCGTTGAAATTGAGAAATTCGAAGACACTAATCAACATAGCGGAAGAGATGGACCACAAATAGTATGACTGCAATGATGCCAAAACTGTTGAAAGGTCATAGCAGTGCCTACTTATTGCCCACAACAAGGTTCTTCAACAATTTCGGGAAAGTAGGCTGGCACACGTGGGGATAACGTGAGCACAAAACTATGGGGAGTTGAGGCCCTTGGGGAAGACACTATTTTGATTTTGGTACGCTTAACGTCAAATTGACGTAAGGGGGGATGGTGTGTCCAGTCATTGACGCTAAGAGATTATGTAATTGCGCTAAAATCAAAATAAGGTGGGAAGATGCACAAAACCGCCGCTGATCAACTGCGAACAGCTCATAACTTGCTGTAAGGCCTCCCCCAAACTTTCCATCGTCGAGGAAGACTCTAGAATGGACCAATTTTCAGGCTCTGGGGCTGCTCCTATTGCCTATAATGGCTTTTGGCACCCCATTTTTCAAGTAACTGCAATCGCCACAGTTTCGGTCGTTTTTTCCTTGAAATCGGTATTGACGTTGTGTGGCATTATTAGGTAGTGAGTCGCCCGGGAATCGAAATAACGATTGACGCCAAGGAGGGGGGGAGGTGCGGTCTGAGCTTAAAGTCAATTTGACGTTAAGGGGACAAAATTCAAAATAGTGCCTTCCCTTACGGAGATGGACTGGGTCGCTTTTGATGAAGCTGTCAAGTGCTTGCTGTGTGGCGATGACTGATATAGCCAAGATCCACATCAACCCAAAATCCACCAAGGAATCCGATTCCGGTTGAAGATTGACTAATTGAGTTGACCCTGAAAAGTTTATAGCAAGATTAGAAGAGCGACAATATTTTTGGGACCGAGGTAGTATGTTTGTCTCATGCTCTACATATTCTGAGCACGAAGATCTTCCATTCGTGCTGTGAATTTCCATGCTGTCAAAAAATTGCGAAGTCTTAATGTCAGAGTACGTGCAGTTCATAGGTAGCTATGTTCCCGCAAATGAGCAACTGGCAAAGGCACACGTCAACAGAATCTTTCTTGGCACAATGCACAACAAAATTCTACCGGTAACCAATACAGGAGTGCATTGCTCTCGTGATCTGTTGCCAATGCTGTGGGCATCACCTGAGCCAATGGGTGCGTTGACTGCTGTTCCACAGCCCCGGCTAAAGCAAGCACAGCATCTTGCGAGTGTCCATCCGAAGTGACCACCACACTTGACACAGCAGGCCGGCCAATTGTGATAGTCCCAGTCTTGTCAAACACGATTGCATCCACTTTTCCGGCGCGTTCAAGGACATCGCCGCCTCCAATGACAAGGCCTGACCGAGCTGCAAGGGAGGTGCCCACAAGTACAGCTGTTGGGGTTGCCAGCCCAAGTGCACATGGGCACGAAACGACCAAGACATTGCAGGCCAGCTGAGCGCTGAGAAGCAAAGCCGCAGAGCCAGATGCCACCTGATGAAATAGGATGCTGTTACTGCTAGCATACAGTGTACAGACTGCTTGGGTGTATCACTTCACAAATTCTTGAATATCACATCAATTCAATCAATGGGCATTCAACGGGCTTCACTGAATTCTTCCCCAGCAGTCCACCATCCTCATGCACAAGTCTGGTGTACAAGGGAAGGCATTGCAAGCGAGTGACGATTGACACTGTCCCAGAAACCAATGAAGTGCGGGCACCTACAGGAACAGGTGAGTTTATGCAGGTCACACAACTTAGGTTCCTCAGGCAGTAGCCCAGGGAGGACAAAAGAAGACCCGTCAGCTGAAGGCAAGCCCATCAAGATGACAAATCGCTTCTGACGCTATCAGGAGACCTGGTTGGAGGCTGTCAGATGCCTGGGGCAGGCATCGACGTACATCATTGCTGCAGCAAGGCAGTCCTACAGGCTTTCTTGTTGCCCCTTTCAGCATGCACACACTGATGCCCAGTCCGAGCAGACCTGAGAAACCTTGCCTGCTGCTGGAAGTCGCTGATGCAAGCCAGCAGTCTGTACAAGCTAACATAAGGACTGTCGCATGTTGAAGTCAGTGACCAATTGACCACAAAGCACACACAAGAATTTGTCAAGGTTTCAGGGTATCACATGTCCAGGGTCCCGATCATTCCCATCCAGCGAGCCTTGAGCTTACTTGAGGGAGAAGAATGGGACCCATTAATAACCAGAACAGTGCTGTCATCCCTGAAGCTGCCAAAACACCCCATGAGAAAATCCCAGCAACACTGTCAGCCAGCCTCTGAATGCTGGGCGTCCGCCCCTGGCACTCCTCCACCAGTCGAACGATCCTTGCCATTGCGGTGTCCTGCCCAACCCGTTGGGCATCCACCCTGAGCTCCATCCCACCACAGTTGATTGTGCCGGCGATCACCTTGTCACCTACACAGTTCAATTTCAGTGCCAGAACCGACCCAGTCACGCTCAATAACACGTGTTTGACGATGAATTAATGCTTTTACAGGCGCAACGAATGTGCTGAAGCGTATTCTTGGGACGGGGTCAATAAGGCGAACTCAAGGACAAGGGACACATATGGCCACTGGCACGCCCATGGCACACCACAGCCTGTCCATCCATCAAAATCCCAACAGTGTGTTGCAGACACGTGCATAGAGAGTGCCTGCAGGTGAGCTCATGGGCAAAAGTGCACAAGCTGCACAGCGGCCCGTGCATATGTGCATCGTCCATCATCCTTTCGACAGTCTTGTCCAAATTTGGTAGATTACTGCCCAGTCAGGCGATGGCAGCACGTGTGCAGCCATCTATCTCTTCACCTGGAGACTTGGGAATGGGCATGGCTTCTCCGCTGACAGCTGATTCGTTTACAGCACTAGAGCCAGAAGTGACAATGCCATCCACAGGGATCTGATCCCCAGGGCCAACGACTATTTCCATGCCTGGGCCCACAGCCTGTATCGGCACCCTGTGGACTTTCCCAGACCACACCACCTTTGCCTGGTCTGGAAGCAGCTTGTGCAGAGCTGTTAAGTCATCGGACGCCTGCAGATGATCACGAAACATGTTTCAGATTGAAAGAGCACCAGTGGTGCATCTGTTGCCTGTACGTTTGAGCTGATGGCTCAATTACCAGCAAATTCTCTCTTAGACATGGACTGAAGTGCTGACTGCATCTAGCAATTCAAGGCAGCACGACCCCCTGGATTCATTCATTCCACTCACGTGAAACATGGTCTTCTTTTGTGTGCCTGGGCCTTTCAAAAACTGATAGCTCAACCACAGATACCACTATGCAAAGAGAATCCTCTTCAATACAGGCCTGCAGCAACAAGGCCATGAATGGGATAGGCATTTTTGAACTTCTTAGGGCAGTGGCTTCTCCTCAAAACGTTGCGATACACATGGACTTTTCTCAATGCCAAGAGTGAAAAAGAGCAACTGCTACTCCACAGCTCTTTGTCGCTCACCTTTGTCCTTGCAAATGCTTCCAAAGCTCTTCCCAGGAGAACAACTGACAGCAGCATGGCTGGCTCATGAAAGAATGCTGGCCATCCAAGGCGCGGTAGCATGACAGAAACACAGCTCATGGCAAAGGCTGCTATTGCCCCCATTCCCACAAGTGTGTCCATGTCTGGGCTCCGACGCAGCAAACGAGATACCCCTCCTGACAGAATGTTCCTTGCGGGGCCTACAAAAGATTGAAATCCGAGGCTCGAAAACTGAATGACAATGACATGAGCTCCACAGCCAGGCAAGCATGGGCCAAAGGTGAGCTGTCATCGGTGGTGCTTCATGCTCAACCAGCATCACGGCATGAAGCACGTGCTGCGATTGCCATTTTCCCTTGCAAATGCAGCCAGCCAGGCGATGCAAGATAAGCAACCCCTCTGCAATTCAGAAAGCTTCATATCCAGGCTATTGTCTCTGCATACCCCCATCTCAAGACAATTTCTGCAGAATGTTGTGCACAACAGGACGAAGCAAGTGCCAATGCACAAGTACGAAAGCTGTGACACTGGAGTCATGTCAAGCCTCAGAACAATCTTGAATGAATGACATGCGTTGAACAAGCAATGTACCCATGCTGAACACATCCACCGACTCCACAACCAATGCATCCCATCCACATAACACGTTCGATGGGCAGGAACGAAATTGCAGCATGCACAAGAAACAGCAGCCACCAGCCATACCTAACATCAATGCCAAAGATAGGCCAAACTGGAACTGCATGCTGCCAAAGATCTGCAACCAGGGGGGACAGGATGTCAGGACATGTGCAACATGTGCCAGCATAGATGCAGCCAAAAACGCAGAAGGGATGCCTATCGCAGTGAGGGTCTTCCACTTCTTGCCAACATCATTGTCGGGTGCTTGTTGTCTTGTTTGAGCTCCATTTGAGAGAGTGGCTGGATAGCCGTTGTTGGTCAGCACCTGGTCAGCATATGTTGGTGGGTCAGAGAGAAGATTTAGGCAGCACAGGGCTGCTGCCATCCTGATCATTCCAGTTGTCTGTGGCACTTCATGCCAAGCACAGGTAAAGTTGGCGTGGTGCAAGCGATTGGTGCCTCAAATACAATAAATACGTAATCAGGATGGTTGGATGGTCATGATCATTCTTGCAAGACATCTACTCTTATAAGCACTGCATCGACTTTGCATCCACCTTGACGTCAGGTTCGCACCTCTGCTACATTTCTGCCAATAGATGTTGCATTGCCACCCTTCCCTGTCGTCACCTGAACAAAGGCAGTCCCCACTGCCAAGTTCACCGTCGCCTGCACTGGGCAACAATCCCAGTTGTCACTGGCCCTCTCTCAGAGGCTGCCACCAGGTAGGTAGCCATGACAATTGAAATGTATTTTCCACAGAAAAATAGGCATTCATCTCACACTTGGAGACAGCAACAACAGGACGTTGCCCTGCACAATGCACACTGGGGACTGGTCACAACACTTGCAGCCACACCGCTATGCAGCCCGATTTCGATCGAGCTCTCATAAAGCAACTGTGCACTGTGATCGCAGTTCATAAATTCCAGCTGAAGTACACAGTTGTTGTTGCTGGCTGCCATGCACAATTTTTGCACCCCAGTCACCATTCCCCCTTGCAGATGCTTGCACTAATTAAGCAAATTTGCGGCAGTGGTCATAGAGAACCTCTTCGATTCACAGAAACGCTTCAGCCAACACAAGGCCGAAATCAGAAGCAGTCCTTCGCCCACCTCTGCGACTTCATTGTTTTCCTCTATGAGTTTCTTGACCCTTGCAACGCAATTGGCACACTTCATGCCTTGGGGGAAAAATACAGCAAATGTCAAGACCAGATGATTTCGATAATTCAACGACCATGCAATTCATAGGAAGACCTTCCCGACTATTGCCCATCCAAGCAAGACGACTTACAGCTTGCAGGTGGAGCAGGACTGAAAAGGTGTGCAATTAAATTGTCAACGCAGGCACTCAGATAAGCATGGGTGGTCATCCGTTTGTACTGTATCGGCTTCCCCAAAGGAAGTGCTTTTGACTGAACCGCGGCATCCCAGTGCATGATGCAATGCACTCCACAATGGATTGGGTTGGCGTGCACCAGCAGTTACATTGACACAAATTTCCAGTGAGAGCACCCACCCACATTTTGCCCTGAACATATGCTGATTTGGCTTTGTTGGACCACACGGAACAGCAGTTTTTTGTTGGTAAGAGGGCTCCCATGTTGCCAGCATGCCCCCGTTGACCCGAGTGTTTTGAAACACTTTGCTGATAGCAACTTAGCGGACGTTCAGCCAGTACGCTCAATCGCTCTACCTTCAACGCTCATCACAAGGAGGGGCCCATCCTCTCCAGCTTCGTCCCTCCGCTGCAACACAGCTGCTGTTGCATTCGACCCAAGTGCACGAGCTGTTCGCAAGGGCAGCCTCGGCGTCCGAACGCCAGGAAGGCCCGCAGAAGCTATCCCAAATGCCGAGCACGTCCTCAGCGTGCGACTTGCGTGCGTCGCGAGTAAGTTGCGTGAACCAGGCCATGCCAAATGTGCAGGGCATTCTGACGGTTGCCTGGCATGCCATCTTGTGGCCATCCCCTCTTCTGCGTGGCGCTGACAGCTCCGGGTGAGCACGTGGCTGCTTCTCAACTGCCCGTTTCGGGAACGATGCAGAAATACTCCGTTTCCGAAGCGGCCCGCAAGCCACATGAGCATTGTCCTCCGGCAGCAAGGCCTTAAGGTTCGCGAGCCATGGCCTCCGTGAGATGGCGAAGCGAAAAGAAGGCGATGGGAGGCGAGAGACGGAGAGCGGCCTCCGCCAGCAGGATGGTGGGCTGCCTGCGAGCTGCTGTGGTTGCGGCGTCACAAAGTCCCCCTGTCGACAGGCCGGTTGGGTCTCTCCAAATCCTGACTTTTGCCTGTGACATCACGTACGGTCACATTACGTAGGCATTCGCGTCCATGATCAGCCAGCGCGCCGCGGTGCACCTGTTTGACTCGTGGGTTTTCCTCTGCTGAAAAATGACCCAACGCTGCCCTGCGCCTGCAAGGCCGCGTGAGACGTGCGTCCAAGGACACGACGCGAGCGGTATCGACAAGCAGGGCACCTTCGAGGCACACCGCGCTGCACGCCCTTTAAAGCCTGAACCTCTGGCCTCCTTTGCTCCCTGACAGGGTGGCCACTGCCGGAGCACGGACCACATCGACAACACCGTGAACATTTCATCTGAGCCCCGAAATGGACGGCCCTGTTGCCAAGTCCGGGTCCCAGACTGCATGGCATCGGGGCAGAGGAAATGCTCACGATCAGAGCATGCAGGCCCACGAGCAGTAGGAGCTGAAGCTTCCAGCATGGGGCAACGGCTGTTGGCAGCCGACTGCTGGATTGACGGCTACTTCTGTGGTGACACGAGCTTCGTGCCGTTTATGAACTGGCATCTTGGCGGATCGTTTCGCTTGCCCATACTGTGTATATGCCCATACTGTCCCAATAATTGCGAAGTAGACAGAAGACAGTGTGTGCGGGGGCAGACAAACCCATGCATACATATCCCGTCGCTACACTGTTGATGGAGGTGCTATTTGGCTGCAGACTGCTGACATAGGCTGATGGGAGATTTCAAAAACACAGGAGTTCGATTCTGGACAGGCGTGGGACAACGCCAGTGATCGTTAATGGTTAGCATTTGTTATTGGCGGGCAATCTGCAGGAGCACGCTTCTCATTTCTCTTTGTTGCTGCTTTGTTGGAGACATCAGAGGCTTTTCTTCAAGAAAATCTCTCCAGCATGATGTGTTGTGCCTTCTTGGGTGCCAACTGAGGAGATGGTGGTCTGATGCTGAACATTCCAACACCCCCCAAACTGAGAACCAGATGCTGACGTGCCAATTTCCCCATCAGAGTCCAAAAGCAGGCACCCGCGGCAAAACATCATTTCCAGAGTTTCGGACACTGCAAAATAATTCCATGCAATGCCTTGCAGTGCAATCCTGTAGTCATGGCAGAGGTGCATCTTGCCTAATTTACGGTTGATAAACACAGTTTCATCCCTGGACAGGTAACTCAGTGCGAGGTGAGCATGGTTGCGCAAGACTCTAAAATGCAAGCTTACGCATTCACACAAGTTGTCATGTGACGTTTACTCGCCATTTTCGCTGACACAATTCGACAGATTTGTCGGCAATGGCAAACAACGGGTGACAACGTACGCTACAATTCCCACACAAGCTGCCTTTGCATGTGGTTGGAGCGGAGCCGCTGTATGCCGTTTCTTTGCATCATTGGCGGACGATCCCGGCTGTTTGCTGCATCCATGTGCATACACGATTTCTTCTCAATCCACTTCTTCCACACGTGCTGTCAAGCCAATTCAAGTCCACATATTTTGGCAAATGAGACGTAGAACTGCTACTGGCAGCTGGCAGCTTCCTCCATTGTCACCAAATTGAGGAGTTCCCTCGCTCCTCTATGCGTCTCTGACGCCGATTCTCATTCTGCAGGAACAAGACATGGTGGCCAGTCACCACAACACCAGCCAAGGGCAGCAACAAAGGGGCGTGGCAACTTTACCCTGAGACCATTTTGGCCACTATCAGGCCTCTGAGACAGTTTTAAATGCTCTCAATGAAGGCAAACACACTGTGCATGTGCTTCATCCCAGAACTTGCAGTATGCGGTGGCCTGACTATAAAGCAGTGTCCTTTTTTGATAGTAATTCACCATGCATTTGATTGAAGAGGAAGTAAAATGAGTTCTAGAACAAAAGTTTGCATGGAATTTTCCCGTCATGGCCTTGAGGTGCAAGATAGCGTTTCAAAAATCCTGGTTAATAAAACCAAATGAACTGTCAAGATGTCTTGTCAGAATATTGTGCCGATTCCAGAACAAACACTGACGTCAATCCGTAGCCCTCCAACGCCTTGTACCCGATTCATGTTGCGTTACCTTGTGATCAAGTGTTGTCCAAAGATTCCCAGGTAATAGTTGGAACTCTCTCACAGCAGGCGATCTTTCAATCACCACGACAGCGAATTCCAAACACCCGTCCTTATGACCGTTGCTTGCAAGAAATGTTTCACCAGCGCACCACAACGCAGTTACGCGAAGTCATGTACAACGTTCCGTACGAGGATGAACGTCCATCAGTCTCCTCCTGCAGCACGTCATGCAGTGACGGCTTCTCGCCAAACAGCGCGCCACAACCACAGCCGGCCATCCATCAAACTGTTCGGGATGCTCTCACCTCCACACGCCTGCAGGCCTTGTAGCGCTCGAAGAATTCCTTGCATTTCGACCGGTCCGACAAATTCTCCTCGATACCTGGCACCAGATCAGATTAAGACGCAGCGGCGTCGCCCCTTGCCGAGTCGAAAGAGCGGCGCGCCGACTCCGGTGGGCGTCTCACATTTGAGCGACGCCTTGTGCAGGCTGGCGCACTCATCCTCTGAAGCCTTTTTGGGGAGGCCGTGAACCTGTTGCCCCATCCCTGCGCCGGGAGCGTCGGTTTGCGCGCAGCAATGGCTGCTTGGGGTCTCGATGGCTGGGGAACTTGTTGCACTTTCCCGATGACGGCATCGTGACATTCATACGCGCGACGAGGGCATAAAATTACTGGCAGCACCAAATCGGTGACTTCTTGCACCAAGTCACGTGCACCTCATGTCCAACTCCGTCCAAACTAACCTAACCTAAAACCTAAACCCTAAACCCTAAACCTAAACCTGTCCTAACCCTCACCCTAACCCTAAAACTCACCCTGAAACTAAACCTAACCCTAAAATTGAGGTTAGGACAAAGTGTCACGTGACTTGGTGCAAGCAGTCACCGATTTGGTGCAGGCAGTAATATTTTTTCCGCGACGAGCACCATGATGACGGCGCCCTACACGGTCTGCAGAAGCATTGGTGCCTCGTTGCTGAGGTGTTGTGCATAACCCACTCAAGGGCTTACATAGATGGGTCAGATGGGAGGCCATCTAACTTGGACGGTAAGATGGGGAGTCATTTGACACGGACGTTTTCCCATTGGCGGCTTTCAGCTGGACTCAGAAGCGCCACCTCAGCAGTGTCAGTCCCGCTTTCGACGGTGAACCTTCGACTGCCTCTCTCTCCAGCTGTGCCTGTGCCGCAGGCCTCTAGCAAGTTGTTTGTGCAGTGACTATGTACTGTGATGGCTTCCGGTGCGGTTTCGGGCAGACGAAAACGGTTGCCTACTTTCTTGACATTGCACAGAAAGATTGTCGGCCAAACTGCTGCTCCATTCTGCCTCTCGATATAGGCAATCGGGGGTAAAACGGCCTTATATCCCAGTCTGTATGGAGCGTTTTTGCCTCATATCCCGGGATATAGCCTTATATCCCAGGGCTTCGCCCAGTACATTGTGGCGCCAGGGGCGCCCCGCCCCACACGCCGGCGCCAGCGCCGGCGATCAGCGATGGTGGCGCGGCCAGCGGCGCAGCCACGGGCCGTGGACCCAGGAGCACTTGCGAGGGGCGCCTCGCGCCCCAAAGTGAGCACGGAGCTGCGACCGAAGACAGGTTGGCGAATCTCCGGCCGCTCGTCCCGTTTGCGGGGCGCCGGCAGCTGCGAACCAGAGCGACCGCCGGGACCGCTAGACGTGGCCGCTCAGCTTTTTTTCTGTTATTTTCTGTCCGTATTTTTTTCCAAGACAAAAAATCCGTCCGTCACTTTTCTGTTGTTTTGCCGGGGCTGGTTTTCTGTTGCCGTTCATGCCACGTCAGCTTCCAGTTTTTTGGCTCTGGAGCTGTCCGTCAAGGGGGTGTTTGCAGCCACCAATTTCTGTAAAGATGTTTTTTTTCCGTTGCCTTTCCTGGCATTCCGTTGCCATCCGTCATGGACTTTGAGATTCTGGAAGCTTGTCGCAAATAGAGGCGTATCGAATCGCTGCCAGTACTTGGCTGGAGGCAGCACACACACAGAACACATTATCATGGCGTAATATAAATCATAAGTGCTGGCCCTTCCCAGCAGCGATCGCTGCCGGTACTTGGCTGGAGGCAGCACACACACAGAACACATCATCCCGGCATATTATAAATCATAAGTGCGGGCCCTTCCCGGCAGCGATCGCTGCCAGTACTTGGTTGGAGGCAGCACACACACAGAACACATTATCACGGCGTACCATAAATCATAAGTGCGGGCCCTTCCCAGCAGCGATCGCTGCCGGTACTTGGCTGGAGGCAGCACACACACAGAACACATCATCACAGCATACTATAAATCATAAGTGCGGGCTCTTCCTGGCAGCGATTGCCATCGATTTTTTATGGAATTCTGTCGACCTTTGTGGTCCGGTCAGCGGTTCTGTTGTGGGTGCCTATCATCCGTAGACGGCGGCGCGAATTCTGTAACACTTGGTTTCATTCTGTAAGGCTATGTGGATTTCTGTAGTTGTCTATGCTGACGTCAGTATGGCCCTACCCGTTTCTGTAAAACGCTTTTTTTCTCTGTGGCTCCCTCATAAATTCTGTTGATTGCACAGAATTTTAACGGAGCCAAACAAATTCTGTTGGGGACGGACAGATGGGGCCACCTCTAGGGACCGCCCATTGGACCTGCTGGCGGCCCGCTCACTGCGCTGGTGGCGTGCTCGTTCGAGGGTGCCCAGTGGCCCTTATTCGCAGGTCTTGGTAGCTGGCGCTGGGGCCCCATCGCCCCGCGCTCTGCCCGCCACGCTGATCACGGGGGTGGCGC